TTTGGAATCCAGTCTACATCATCTTTATCAGACAATTTGCTAGGTTTTCCTACAAATAAGTTGGATAATAATTATCAAGATGCTTATAGAAAACTAATAAGTTACATCCATAGACAAATTATATACATAAAAATGTTTGGAACATATATATCCATATTTTTCTTTTTTTTCCGTTAGGTCCGTTCTTTTTAGAGCATTTATCCATTTTTCTCTTCTTTCTTGAGCCAAGGGTACAACCCTTCCATTATTGTCCAAAATGGATGGAAATTTATGGAAGGAAATTTTATCCCTAGCGTTATTAGTACCGCAATTAACTACCGAACAAAATCTAGGCATTCTTGACTGTTTATTGTTAAAAAACGTAATTAACAAAGCGAAAAAACTTGGAAAACAACACAATCCAAGTCAATCCACACAAACTTAACCAAGAAATGTTTTTCCTCAGGGCGTCTGTCATTTGTGTCAACTGTCAGATCGTGGACATGCCCTGTTGTACCGCCGGACGAGACAAACACTACATAACATTAGAATATCGAACCTATAGGAACCGTTTTTCAATAATTTTATGAACCAGAATAAAACTTTTAGGACAATGTAATATAAACATTTGAATCTATTTTGGTTCGTATATTATTAAGTAGTTCTTTGTTCATCCAGTCTGAGCTTATTTGTTAGTTATCATTGTTTTGTTTTGTGTTTTTTTAGTGTTTTCATAGGTAGTTACACGTTACCCAGCAGTTGATCACTGAGTTTGTTTATTAAACTTCATTTTGTTCTTGTGTGTGGTGAGTATTATACCTAATTCTTTTACTAGTAGTTGGGTTAGGTATCTGTAGTTATATTTATAGCCATGAGTTAGTTTATTGAACATCATTTTATTCATGTGGGTAGTGAGTATTTTACTAGTAGTTACGTTAGGTATTTGTAATTTTTAAAGCCATTGGCGGCCTGCAAATATATTATTATTATTATTATTATTATTATTATTATTATTTTTTTTTTTTTAAGGCGTCGACATCAAGGTCATTGGCCTCTCAATCTAAATGAGTAAATAGTATATATTAATTTCTTATGTAAGTTTATGGTTTTTTTTTAATATTAAATTTGATTATACATATTTATTTCTTTGAGAAATTCTAGACATTTTTTAATATAAAGTTTGCTTGTTAAGCATAGTTGTATATTATTTGGGATCAGCATTTGTGTTCGAAGTTGGGAATAAGTTGGACATTCTACGATTAAGTGGTCAGTTGTTAGAGTTTTATTACAGGATTCACATCTCGGCTGATCTTCGTTAAGTAGCATGTAAGAGGATGTGATTCGACTATGGCCTATTCGAAGTCTAGTAAGGACGACAGAATCTTTTCTATTTAGTGGAATAGGACATGTCCATGGGTTGACTGATTCTTTAATTCTCTTTAGTTTAGATACATGTTGGTTCCATTCGTTTTGCCATTTGGAGAGTATTACTTGTTTTATATAAATTTTATAATCATCTGATCTGATTGGAATATCTTCTTGGTTGTTACCCAGGGCTTCTTTTGCGGCGGCATCAGCTTTTTCATTACCTAATATTCCAGCGTGACCTGGAGTCCATATAAAGATTACTCTCTTTCCTGTCGATTCCAGATGATGGATGGTTGTCAAGATTTGGTTTATAAGTGAATCGTGTTTGAAGGAGTTTCTCATTGATTGGAGTGAGCTGAGGGAGTCGGTGCATATTAAGTTTGTTTGATGTGTGCTTAAGTCGATTAATCGTAGGGCTTGCCATATTCCATAGAGTTCAGTAGTGAAAACTGTAGCTGCTCTTGGTAGTGTCCATGAGTAGCTTATATTTTCAATACTTAATGCACTACCGCTACTTTCAGAGCTTTTTGATCCATCGGTGTATATAATATTGCTAAGTGGATAATTGTTTATAACTGATTGAAATTCTTGATTGATTAATATAGCTGGGGTTTCACCTTTTTTATATTTCATGCATTCAAGATGGATTCGGAGATTATTAAATAACCATGGAGCAACTTCAAAGTTTTTAGTTTTGTACAGGTTTGGGATAGTTTCGTTTAAGTTATCCAGCAATTCTTTAAATCTCACAAGGGCAGGTCTGGTGATTGTTGATCGATTATTGAATATGTCATTTATTTCGTACGATTTAAAAATTTTGTGAACGGGGTGGTTAGGTTGTGCGAATATATTTGTACAGTATTTAATTAGTAGTTCTTCCCTTCTGTACTTTGTAGGGGGAATGGAGGCTTCGTTACAGAGAGATAGATAGGGACTTATCCGATAGGCGCCTAAGGCAGTTATTAGTGCTGACCTTTGTATGCCTTCCAGAGGTTGCAAGGTAGTTTTTCTAGCAGATGCGTATACTATGCTACCATAATCCATTCTAGATTGAATGAAGGATTTATAAAACATTAACAGACTCTTACTATCACTTCCCCACCTAACACTACCTACTGATTTCATAATATTCAAATATTTTGTGCATTTGGTAACTATATTTTCTATATGTTCTTTCCAGTTCAGTTTTTTGTCCATTATGATACCTAGAATCTTAGTTGACGGTTTGACTTCTATTTCCTGTTCTTCTAGCATAAGAGTTGGTTCTCTATGAGGAGTCCTTAGACGGCAAAAATGGACACAATGTGTTTTGGAGGAAGAGAAAATAAAACCTTGTAATTTAGCATAGTTGGAAATTTTATTGATATTTCTCTGTATCGTCTCTTCAATATCATCTATGCATTTAGAATCATAATATATAACCAAATCATCAACATATATGCTTCTGCCTACCTCCTCCTCGATAACTGAGGTCAGTCCATTTACCGCGATGGCAAATAATATCACACTCAGTGTTGATCCTTGTGGTATGCCGTTTTTAAGTCTGATATATTTTGCTGGATTTTTACTCTAAATACCCTATCTTCCAAAAAATTTTTTATGTACAGTGGTAAGTGTCCCCTGAAGTTCCATTTGTGCAGAGTTTTTAGAATACCCATACGCCAAGTCTGATCGAAGGCTTTTTCCAGATCGAAGAATACTGCTACAATATGATTTCTTTTCGCAAAAGCATTCTGAATAGCGTTTTCTAAAAGAACTAATTGGTCATTCGTGGATCGGTTTTTGCGGAATCCCATTTGTGATTCGGTTAACAAATTTCGTTTTTCCAGTTCCCACATTATTCTAGTACTTACCATTTTTTCTAGAATTTTACTCAAGCAACACGTTAGGGATATGGGACGATAGTTGGATGTGGTTTCAGGATTTTTATATGGTTTTAGGATTGGGATGACTATAGCTTCTCTCCATTTTGAAGGATAAGTATGAGTTTGCCATATTTTATTATATATGTGGATTAATTGATTTTTTTGTATTTCTGGAAGTTGTTTAATAAAATCATAGATAATTTGATCATTCCCTGGTGCGGAGGATTTGGATTCTTCTAAAGCATTGATTAATTCTTCGAATTTAAAAGGTAAGTTGTATTCATAATATTGATTGGTGTGGAAGTTGGGATATGTTTTGTCTTCGTTTTCTATTTCTATTTCACTAACCATTTGAAAATGTGTTCCGAATGCATTGGCAATTTCATCTACTTCTGTTAACGTAGTATTATTGACTAGTAATTGTGGCGAGGGGTGGTTAAATGACTTTCCAATTATACTACGGATTTTTTGCCAGATGTCTTTGGATGTAGTGTCGGTGTTTATTGAGTTGATATATTCTTGCCATGACTTTCTTTTTGAATGTACAATCAGGTATCTCGCTTTTGCTCTTAATTTCTTAAATTGAAGCATTGCTTCTGGTGTCTGGGTCCTTTTAAAGATATTGTATGCTCTTTTTTTCTCTTTAACCGCGTTAGAAATTTGTTGATTCCACCATGGTACCTTTTTAGTTCGGTTAGAATTTTTAGTCATTGGGACTGCTATTTGTGCGGCATTAATGATTGCTTCACTAAAGTGAGTTACTAGCTGATTAATGTTTGTACTAATTTCTGGGGTATAGGATTCAATAAGACTTTGGAAGAGTTGCCAGTTAGCTTTATCTGGGAGCCATTTTTGAGGTATGTTATTGTATATAATTCTATCAGCAAATTCTATTGATATAGGGATGTGGTCAGTGTTTTGTTCATCAAGAACATTCCATTGTAATTTGGGGTGTAGTTCTGGAGAACATATTGAAAGGTCTAATCTAGAGAGGGTATTGGATCTGGAATTAATAAAAGTCCCTTCTCCAGTATTGAGAATGTTTAGATTAAAATGGTCTAAAATTTGTTCTAGCACTCTACCTCTGCGATCAGTTGTTATGGAACCCCATAGAGTATTATGTGAGTTGAAATCACCAACAAGAATGAGAGGAGGAGGGAGTTGATCTATCAAATTTTGAAGGTTTTCAGGTGTCCAATTGATATCTGGTAGATATATGTTACATAGCGTTAGTTTGTGTGGAAAGTTAAGTGCTATTGCAACTGCCTGAATGTTTGTATTTAAACTTATTTGTTTAGCATTGATATTTTTTTTTATGAAAATTGCAACTCCTCCGTGGGCCCGTTGCCCGTCATTGTTGTCTAATCTAAATGAGTTATATTGCCTAAGGGTAAAGTTTTCGTTTTTCTTCAGATGTGTTTCTTGTATGCAGATGCAAAATGGATTCTCACATAATAGAATTTCCTTTAGTTCGGGATAGTGATGTTTTATACCATTACAATTCCACTGGATTAATTTTGCTAATTTAGACATTAATATATTTTGTGGAAGTGTGTATGAACTGTTAGTCGTCTTTAGGATTTTGGCTATTTGATTTATAATCCATATCTGGATTAAGTTCATCAATATTTAGATCAGGGTTACTATTTTTTCGTGGCACGCCCTTGGGCCAGCCTTTTTTTTTCTTTTTGGTTTTTGTTTCTTCTTTTTGCGATGGTGCTTCACTAGTTGACTCTATGTCTGAACTTTCTGTTCTGAAACGTTTAGTTCGAGGGGTGAATCTTTTACTAGTTAATTCTGATGTGGGGGTAGGAAAAGGGAAATTAGGTATAGAAAAAATTTTTTGTAATTCTGAGTTTAGGGATTTCATTATTAATTCTTCCAGTTTTGGGTATATTTGAGTAATTATGTCAGTTGACTGAGTAGGTTGGGTAGCTTTCGCTGTCGATGCATAAGAAACGTTTCTCGTTGGAGTGCTTAACATAACTTTTTTCTTTGCTTCAAAGTATGGGATTTTTTCGGTTATTTTTATTTTTATTATTGCTGCTTCTGTTTTATATTTAGGACAATCTTTATTATTAGCTGCATGCGGGCCTCCACAGTTAATACATTTCATTGGGATTTCACAATCTGTGGGTTCATGAGGAGTTCGTCCGCAAGAACATATTTTATTGCTGGAGCATTTATTAGATACGTGACCAAATTTTTGACAATTAAAGCATCGTGTAGGAGGAGGTTTATAAGGTCGGACCTTTAGATTATAATAGGCTACTTTTATTTCTGATGGTAGTTTAGGGTTGTTAAATGTTAAAACATGATTAGCGGTATCTATTAATCCATTTTCTGTTTTGCTCTTTAATCGTCTTACTTCAATTACCCCTTCGTCTTTTAGGTTTTCAGCTATTTCTTCTGTGGAACAGTTTAAAAGATCTCGACAAAAAATAACACCTTTAGATATATTAAGTGTAGCATGAGGAGTTACATCTACATCTACATCATTAAATCTTTTAATAGTCAACAATCGTTTTGCTTGAGCGCTTGTTCTGGTATGAACTAGTAATCCATCATTAACCTTTCTAACAGAGTTAACTTCGCCAATAAGTCCGTATACAGTTTTGGAAATAACGAATGGGCTAATTTTTTCAAAATTCTCACCATTCTCGTTATTTTTCTTCTTAACAAGTAGGAACCGGGGCACGTGGGCCACCGTCTCCTGACTTGCTGGTGGACTGGTGAGTGTTCCACCTTCACTGTTCTGGTGCAAAATGGTTGAGGTTAAAGAACCTGCACCTGATTCAGCAACCTCTGGTTTCTGGGGTTTGTGTTTTGGATTCATATGGATCCCACGAGTCGGGCCGAAAAAAAAAGTACAACAGGGCAGTGCGCCTTACCCCGTCAAGGCCTTGCTATAAATAGCCTACGTCCCGCGCACCCTCGCCATGATGCCGGGGGACCGTTTGTGGCTCCTCTTTCCCGGAGTCACGCACACCCTCGCCACGGTCTACAGCTTAGCGTTGGGAGATTTTTTCCAAGGTTTACTCCTTAGTGCCAATTTTGGTTCGCGCCGGCTATTTCATTTGACCGGTACCACCCATAAATGGGAAGCATTCCCCTATCCACCACCCGGGGACGCGCTGGATGGGAGATTGGCAACTCCACACCAGTATTATTATTATTATTATTATTATTATTATTATTATTATTATTATTATTATTATTATTATTATTATTATTATTATTATTATTATTATTATTATTATTATTATTATTATTATTATTATTATTATTATTATTATTATTATTATTATTATTATTATTATTATTATTATTATTATTATTATTATTATTATTATTATTATTATTATTATTATTATTATTATTATTATTATTATTATTATTATTATTATTAATATTATTATTATTATTATTATTATTATTATTATTATTATTATTATATATATATATATATATATATATATATATATATATATATATATATATATATATATATATATATATATATATATATATGAACTTGAGTTATTGGGTTTGCAGCAAAACGAAATGTGTACTCTTATAAGTTTATTCCAAGCTTTCGAATGTGAATACATTCATCTTCAGGGATCTAGAATATTTATTACAGGAAAATTAAAATTGAATAATGAACAATTAATGTTTACTTACTACTTAGTGAGATTGGTTCGTGAAAAAAATGTTGTACAAAAAGAGTACACATTTCGTTTTGCTGCAAACCCAATAACTCAAGTTCATTTCCTAACGAGTCAGCAAAGACTTCTTTCTTGCGTATATATATATATATATATATATATATATATATATATATATATATATATATATATATATATAGGTATAAGTACATAGTTAGAATGTTTTACTACTCCTAATACAAATCCCATTTATAAAAATCAACAGGAACAACTTAACAAATTGTATTGAATGCTATCAATTAGGATTAAACTGTACATACTTTTTTTACTGATATCTGACAACTGATTTTTTCTTTTTATTAGATCTTACCACTGTTCATGTTTCGGTGCCATTAATTAGTACTAAATTTTCATAGAACATGAGATATCACTCATTTAGAATGAATAATATTTGATTTATGTGACAATAATCTTAACATGTTTGTTATTTTTGTACAGTTTAATACTGATATATTCAGTTGTAGAATTTGCCAGCAAGCCATTTCTCTGAAATACAAATAGAATATTCTTGGAATAATCCAGGATGTCAATCCCAGAATATTCTATTCTGAAAATGAGGATGTTCTAGATATGTCTGGAATATTCTAGGAATAATCCCAAAGAGTAGTTCTGACATAATCCACCAAGAATATCCCCTGTATAATATAAGAATATGCCAAATATTCCAGGAATAAACATAAGTAATATTGTAAGTATATTCTCTATAAATATTCTAAGATTATTCCACGAATATCCTAGATATTCCTGGAATAATAGTAAAAATGATCTAAGTATGTTCCACTAGGAATATTCTTCGATTATTCCAGGATTATTTCTAGCATGTTCCAGGAATATTTCTGAGGATTATTCTATGGATCATCCACATATTCCCATTCGCACATTCCAGGAATATTAATATCATATGTATATCTCTGGCGCATATCCCAGGAATATTCCATTATTCCTAAAAGATTATCCCAAGAATATTTCTAGATTATCTGGTGCTGACTGGGTCTAGAAATATTAGTAAAGTACAACTTTTTGAATCAGCTAGTGAACTTTTTTCACAAAAGGCTAAATTTTGGTATCGTCACGTCAAAAATTTTGTAACTAATTGGGATTCTCTTGTATCTAAGTTAAAACAAGATTTTTTGAGTTCAGAAATTGATGATGATTTGTGGGAACAAATTAAGAAACGTTTTCAAGGTAAAACAGAACCTGTCATATTGTATATAGCATGTATGGAAACTCTTTTTTCTAGATTATCACGTACCCAGATAGAACAGACAAAAATTAAAAATATTCGTAATGGTTTACAACCATAATATAGAAAGAGACTAGCTTTACACGATATTAACTCTGTTAATGAATTAGGTTCCTTGTGTAAAAAGCTTGAAGAAGCTGATATATTAAGTCTATGTTCAACGAGTCGTTCAAATAATAGCTATTTAGAATCTGAATTAGCATATGTTTCTGAATGTTCAACACCTTCTACATCCTTTGAACCAACTAAAAGAATGTCAAATAATAGGAATAATAATAATTATGTTAGCAGTAAAACTCATAGAAATTTTAAAAAGGAAAGTAATTCTAATAATGTTAGCTCTAATGAAGTCAAGAAATCTGTAGTTTGTTGGAAATGTAACCTAGCTAATCATACTCACAGAAATTGTAGATCTCCTATTTTTAAAAAATATTGTTTTAAGTGTGGTGAAAATAATGTCACTATTAAAGAATGTCCCAAGTGTTCAAAAAACGTACAATAGGTGATTATGTCGTTGGCCAGAGTTCACCTAATAACCAACTTTATAAAGCCAACACAAAGAATTCTTTTTCAGTAAACTATTTTAATAATAATGGAAGTCTAAAGTTAGAGATTTTTATAAAAATAGAGTTAATAAAGAAATTTCACCCCTTTGCATTCATAAAGATAATGATAATAGACCATACATAGAAGTAAATTTAATAGACTTACCTTTAGTTGTTTTGTTAGACAGTGGAGCTAATACATCTGTAGTTGGTAAAGAAGGAATGGCAATATTAGAGAAACTAAATATAAAAATTAGTCAGAAACATCATATTAAAAATATTAACACTGCAGATGGTAAATCACAGTCAGTGATAGGTAAAGTAGACTTGCCTATTTTTATTAAAGATACTTGTAAAATAATTAGTGCCTTAGTAGTACCCTCATTGCCACATACAATTATTTTTGGTATGAATTTTTGTGAAATTTTTCAAGTAAAAATTAGTTTTAAAGATTTTAATTGGGATATTCAGAGTAATTTAACTGATTCAGCTATTTGTACTGTTTCAAGTGATAAAAATAAAATTACGGATGGTGTTTTAAATTATAGTATTTTAACCCCTCAACAAAAAGAACTAGCTCAAGAAGTAATAGATTCTTTTAGTGCGGTTAGTAATGAGAATAAATTAGGACGCACAGATAAAATACAATTAAAGATAGAAACTAATGATGCAAAACCTTTTAGAGTTCCTCAATATTTAATGTCACCATATATGTTAGAAATTTTAAATAAAGAGCTAGATGATATGTTAAAATTAAAAGTGGTAGAACCAAGTCATAGTTCTTGGAATTCCCCAGTATTACTAGTTAAGAAACGTAGTGGAGAATATCGCTTTTGTTTCGATGGTAGAAAGTTAAATGAGATAACTAAGAGAGATTCTTATCCTTTGCCTAAAATTGACTACATTTTGAGAATGTTGGGAAATACAAAATACATTTCCAGCATAGATTTAAGAAAAGCATTTTGGCAAATTCCATTAGACAATGAGTCTAAAGAAAAAACTGCATTTAGTATACCTGGAAGAGGTCTTTTTCATTTTAACGTTGTTCCATTTGGATTAGTAAATTCTGCTCAGACACAACAGAGACTGTGTGATGCTTTATTTGGTCCTAGGTTTGCTCCAAACTTATTTTGTTATTTAGATGATCTTATTATCACATCCGCAACTTTTGAAGAACATATTAAATCATTAAATCAAGTTAGGGATATATTACAACAAGCAAATTTAACAGTAAACTTTAGTAAATGTGAATTTTTCAAAACATCATTAAAATATTTAGGATTTATTATTGATATCGAAGGTCTTAGAACAGATCCAGATAAAGTAGCCACAATGGTTAATTATCCTCGTCCTATCACATATACAGAAGTCAAGCGCTTCTTGTGTTTATGTTCGTGGTACAGACGTTTTATTAACAATTTTTCTGCTTTAGTGTCACCCCTCAACGATCTCCTAAAAGGTAAAAAGAAAAAGAATAAAATAGAGTGGAATGATAATGCGGAAAAATCTTTTTGTCAAATTAAGGAAGCTTTAGTTAGCGCTCCAATTTTAGTTCCCCCTGACTTTTCAAAGGAATTTACTATGCATTGTGATGCAAGTAATACCGCAATTGGTGGTGCATTAACCCAAGTAATAGATAATTATGAACATATTATAGCTTACGCTTCTAGAACTTTATCTAGAGCAGAACGTAACTATACAGTAACCGAAAGAGAATTATTAGCAATATTGTTTTTAACAGAAAAGTTTAGACCATATGTTGAAGGTGTTAGATTTCGTTGTGTAACTGACCATGCAGCTCTTTTATTCATTAATAATTTAAAAGAACCACAAGGTAGATTAGCTCGGTGGGCCATTAAGTTACGTCAATTTGATTTTGAGTTAGTACATAAAAAAGGCAAATCCAATGTTTTACCAGATGCCCTCAGCAGAATCCCTTATGATCAAGTAAGTCAAGATAATTTTGAAGAAATTTTTCTTATTGATATAAAACCCAAAGAGTCTGATAATTGGTACTATTCACTCAAACAAAAAATATTAGAGAACCCCCAATCTTATTCTCAGTGGAAAATAGTTGATAATATAATTTATAAGTACATATACACCTACCACATTACCCGTATCTACAAATTGTCAAGAATGGAAGTTATTAATACCTAAGTCTCAAATTAAAGAAATAATTTCTAGTTGTCATGATCCGTCTACTTCCGGTCATTTTGGTTTTTATAAAACATTGTCTAAAATTCAAGAATTATATTATTGGCCTAAAATGAGAGCTGACATTTTAAAGTTTGTAAAATCATGTGAAGTCTGTCAGGCT